CTATTACTAACACAACATTGTCAAGACTTATTTGTAAGATTCGAATATAATTTATTGTATGATGGATTGTTGTCAAAGATTATTGCATAAAGATTCCAATTGCATTGACCAAAATAGACTGGAAAAGGAACAGTACAGCCCTTCTCATCCTCTGAGATTCTAAGGAAACGAGGGACATGCTTGCTTTATTTTTCTAGAATATAACTTTACAAACATAAAACAAAACAGAAATAAGACCTGAGGGCAGGTTTGAACCCATCCCCACGCCAATTCCTTGACGGGAAATTTAGCAAACCTTGTACAAACCATTTCAATAGGTTTGGAATCAGATTTTACTATGTAGGTCTCGAAGAATGAGAGGCAAAGGGATTGACCGAGAAAGATCTCTTGCTCTTATAGTAGGATCGTGATTGGATCATCAATTCACTTGTGCAACCCTAGCACAATCCAGGGAGCCATAAAGACGATATCCCATCTGCTTACCGAGCATGAGTGATTTCAACTATGGAGATAGATATAAAACAGCAGTAAAGGATTTTGTAGAAAACCAGAATTCGAAATAAATGAGTTCCCCTCCACTAATAACCATGCAAGTTTGTTCTAAGAAAAAGGCAATATGGTAACACCAGCAACACACGGACATGCATTTAATTTTGAAAATGAAGTCAGGAGGTAGTAAATAGATTTCTCCGAAATAGAAATAACAGAAACAAAATCAGTAGGATAGATCATTCCCAACAAAATTGTCATTTAAAACAACAAACTTCCTATTTCAGTACTTGATTGGAGCAATAATATCAAGTTGACTGCCAAGTTTCTCCTCGGCCACCTTCTCTGCTTTGACCCTCAATTTTGTCAGCTGCTTCTTCCTCTCGTATGTAGCCTGAGCCCTCTCCTTTCTCTTCTTCTCAAGCTCCTACAGTACATAAATGTTATTTTTTAGATCGTATGATCAAATATATTGAATAATGCTATCCATGATCATCCCCGTGTGATGTGATAGTGATGTGGGATGAAATTTTAAGGCGAATATCAGACCCACTTTATTGGTTGGGGATCATCCAGAGTTAGTGTAACTCAATACATTAATCATAAAGAAAATTAAGTCATAATACTCGAACGACCTGAGTTGAAAATTCATCATAAATCCAAGTAACACAGGTAAAAAGGTCTAGATCCAGTCACAAACAAATTGCTTGAGACTAAACATCTGAGAAGTAAATCCATGTGGAACAATAAAGAATGGATCAGTATACAAATTTAAGAAATATTCTGTGACATTGGTGAAATCCATAATTGAAACTATGGCTATGTTAGAGCCACATTTTTTCCCAAAAAAAATTCTTAAACAGTAATTTGACATCATTTCAACCACACATTCTCCAATAAAATAATATTACACGCAAATCTATAACTTTTCTTTATTTTTTAACCACACATTTCCCATCAATACACTATTCAAAAATACATTCCTAGGAATATAATATGGCTCAAACAAGGGCTACATAAAAAAATCGAAAGAAAGCAAACTTCGCAACGTGCACAAAAACAAAGCATATCATCTAAACTCACCCTGATTGTGTCATAATGGTTCCATCCAACTTCGGATGAGAGTCTACCCAATAAACAATATTTGTGTCCAGCTTGTAGCCTCAGAACCCTAATTATCAAAAAGCCAACGAGTTAAAAAGATGTGGACAAAACACACAAAATAATATGGTCTCCTTTATAAGACTCACTTGAGAGCATCGGGAATAACCATCCTCTTGATCTTGTCATATGGGGGTGGGATACCCTCATAAACCTTCAAACGGGAAAGAGCAGCTGCTCCTCGCTTAGTCTTGTGAGGAATCATTCTACAGGTGAATCAACACATAACATTAGACTGGACCGATCACTTCTCTGGAAAGTACACTATGATTAATGCTCCAAAAAAGTCAAAAAATCAAAATCAAAATCAAAATAAAAAAAATCTATGGTTGCACACAATTGATCTTCAAGTACAAGAGACAATAGGTATTTACAAAAGAAAAAAATATCTTCAGTTCCACACAATCGATCTTCAAGTATAAAAAACAAATAGGTATTTTCAGTCCACACAAACGTCAAATCCACTAAGGCAGAGGATTTAGCATTTGTAATATTTCGAACTCATGCGATACCTTCACCAATTATGTTAATAAACAACATTCATCCGATAACACGTTCATTCAGAAATGCAATCCCAGATAGGAAGAATAGCCTCTAATATAAAACAAAACAAGTAGAAATACATCTTTGAAGTTCTAACTGTTACATGCTAGCTCAGCAAAAGCTCATTCAAACAGCTCCACAACTATAAACCAAAAGTAAAGAGACATATGCGTGGGAATCCATTAAGCCAGAATTTCAAATTGGTATGTCTAACATAATACTTCACAGAAGGAAAATTTATGCACTACAGATAGAACACCAAAAGTGTATACAAACACTCCAAAAAGGGTATCACTTTATCTATACAAGCTTTACGTACAACAAAATCAAACACTGAATTTCCAAGATTACAATAAAACTCGAATCTGTTTCTTATCTTCACAAATCCAACAAATCTCACTACAGAAAATTTACATAGAAGTATCTACACTCCTACAAGATGTTCACATATCTTTATAAACAGAAACAGAAACAGAAACAGAAACACCAAATAAGCAGAAACCTCGATACACAAACCAAACATGGAAATTAAAACTTCAACTAGCGTTCTTTTTAATATAAAAATTCATAAGACACATATTTCATCAAAGAATTCCGTAATTCCATACCCACGGATAGTGCGCCAGAGAATCTTGGAAGGAGCCCGGAAGTGGATCGGGCCATGAGACGGCTTGGTGTTCATGCGCTTACGGAGGAATCTTAGGTACTTCATCTTCTGGCGGACGAGTCCACCAGAGAGGCAAATTTCTTCGCATCTGACCACCACCACTTTCTGCCCATTCAAGAGCTCCTTGGCTAGAATGGAGGCCAGGCGGCCAAGCATGTGGTGCCTTGCATCCACTACTACTCTCTTCGCACAAATACCCGACCCGGAAACCATATTCTCTCACTCTAACACTCTCACAGGGCTGCCGCTGGCATGTATCAAATGGGGACGATGAAAGAAAAGCTAGGGTTTTTGCAATTGGATAATTATATTCATATGGGTATGGGCGAGGTTTGATTTATAAGCCCATTTGTATGTAGATCCATTCTTAATGGCCCAAATCATAGATTTTTATTTTATTTTATTTTACAAAAGTTCATTTTCAAAGAATAAGTAGAGGAAATATTGATTTGATTGTAAATATTGGTTATTACTACATTTTATGATGAAAATGACTTTAAATTCAGATTTTTATTTGAAGGCTATGTTAGTGTAAAATGTTTTACTGTAGCAATTTAGAGAGACGTAGAAGGAACACCTTCTAGAATGATCACGCAAGAATAATTAAGTTGGAAGAGTCAAATCCATAAGAAAGGGTTCAAAAGCAAGGTGAGGCAAAGGCAATATAAGAATTTAGGGGAAGAGAGGGTAAGATTTTGGTAGTAATGTGTGCTTATAAATGGGCTGATGTATTTATCATTAGGAATCCGTAACAAAGAGTTTAAATGCTGGGTGAGGAAAAGGCAATACAAGAATTTAGGGGGAGAGAAGTTAAGGGTGCAGTTGGTTTAGTTTTCCATTTTCCATTTTCGATTTCAAAACGATTTTAGTTTTCTTGAAAAAGGTGCATTTTGGGCGTTGCATTTTGGAAATTTATAATTGAAAACGCTCAAAACGATAAAAAATCGTTTTGCGTTTTCAGTTATAAATTTTAACTTGTTTTCGAAAATACATTTTCAAAAACGACGAATCAAACGTGTTTTTCACATTTTAGAAAATGGAAAGCGAAAAATGGCCTGAAAACGCCAAACCAACCGCAGCCTAAGATTTTGGTAATAATATGTGATTATAAATGGGTTGGTATATGTATTGTTAGGAATCCATGACAAAGGATTCAAATGCAAGGTGAGACAAAGGCAATACAAGAATTTAGGGGGGAGAGAGGCTAAGGCTTTGGTAATAATGTGTGCTTATATATGGGCTAGTATATGTATCATTAGGAATTTGAGAGCTTGTAAATTTTGAAATGGATTGAGTTTTGCTTTTGTAAGCCTATTTGTACTATTGTAGATCCATATTAAATAAATAGGAGGAGCAACAACTTTGTTATATAGCAAGTTGAATGTTCCTCTACTCGCTACTTCTTTAGTTAGATTAGATGAAGATAGTGAGAAAGAAGATGATACAAGAAAGAAATACAAGAACATTTTTGAATTTTTACGAAATATAAATTTAGTTTAAGAATTTGTGAAATAAATATTATCTCTAAAATATTGACACTTTTAATTCTTATATATTCTCCTTAATATGCCCAAGAGAAATTCTAATCTACTTATTTTTACCTTCTATCTTCACACGAAGGCCATGAATAACTAAACATTGTCACCTCTTCTATTAATAACTTGTCAACAATCGCCAACCAACAATGCACGTTTTCTTCTAAAATCTCATTTTAATAAAGCCAAAACATTGACGAAGTAAAACTCAAACAAAAGCAACAAATCTTGTACTTTCTCAAGTGGTGTTGACCATGCTAAAATTCATTTTTAATGTACGCTATGAGTGACGAATGCTGTGTCAAAAAATTTAGCAGATTGGCGTACAAATCATAATAAATTGTATATTTCAAGACGTAAAGAAAACAAATTGAAAAAATAAAATAAATGACCTCTCTTGACTATAAATTGATTTTGATGTTTTGGTCTAAAATTTTAGTTGATCTCTCTCTTTCCACGTTAAGCTCTCATTTGAATGCAATTTTTATCCCAAAAGATAAATTTTTTGGTCGTAAATTTATTGTTCCCACCATCATTTATGACCTCTTCATTCACAGATGGAACCCACTTATCTCTAACGATCAAAAAATCAATTCTTATAATCATTATCGAACAGATCCTAACTGTGTATCATATTAAGACTTCATGATTCGATTGAAATTCGAAATCCTGCTTAGACCCGACCTTTTGTACAGTTTTTTTTTTTTTTTTTTTTTTCCGAAGCAACTTTTTTCAGTTTTAACATTCTTGTCATAATGCTACTGGAAGTATTGTGAAAATTTTCAACCTTAAATTTCTTAGGTTTTAAGCGAGAGTGATGATGCTCCGGTGGGTTGTAAGGTAGATGTGGTTAACGAAACTCTCTCGGTATTCCTCAAGCTACAAGGAAACATTAACGTAGAAGCTGAACTCCAGAAGCTCAAGAAAAAGATGGAGGAGATAGAAAAGTGAGTCAATGAATGGTTGATTGAAAGAAAATAGTTCCATCATTTTATTCATTTCCCTGGTCAATAACTTGACATGTTTTGCAGGCAACGTGATAGCTTGTTAAAAATAACTAGTGCATCTGGCTATCAAGAAAAAGTTCCAGCTCATATCCGTGAAGATAACGAGGCGAAGCTTGCATCGCTCTTTCAAGAGCTCTTGTCGTTTGAGGAAGCTAGCGAGCAATTGGAACGTGCATCAGGAAATAACAGAAACTAGAGAAGTATATGTAAATTTTCACGAAAGACTATAATTCTTGTGCCTGTCTTAGTTACAAGTGAGTTTGTTTTAACATAATGTGTCCTGAGGGATAGGCTCATTCAAGACAGACCTGCTAAAGTCGAAACATTAATTACTGTCCAGTTTTTCGCAAGAATTTAGTATCAATCAAATATATATGTTGAAACTTTGACAGCAACAAAAAAGGAGTCATACAAGAAGGCATTTTATTTGATCACATTATTTGACTTCTAGGAATGATTTTGATTGAAATAACTTTTAATTTCAATATCTTTATTGTTTACTTCAAATGTCGCTCTCTTTGGCAGTTACCATTAACTGTCGAGTCGTTGACCATTATTGGCTTCCAGAAATAAAAAATTGTGGCTCTGTCACTGTGTATCAAGATTGATTATACTGTAAAATAATCGCCAATCGGACATCCACTAAATTTTCCTTGAGAGTACTTGATAGGATCCTGCTTAGCCAAACTTATTTTAATTTCAAGAGCTCGGACTGAATTGCTCATTCAATGAGCATGTTTATAAGGTGTATCCTACCGAATATGTGAATAATGAGTAGAAATGGTGAGACCTACAAAATTATATAAAAAAGTGTTAATTTAAATTATAATTCAACGTGCACTTAAAATGGATATTATGCTGATAAAGTGTTTCCTTGAAGTGTGTTGAAGAAGTGGTTGGTGCTAGGAAGGCTGCCCGGTTTGTGATGTATTTGATATTCAAAGTTTTGCATCGATATGGTTCTTGCTGTGATTTGTTTGATTTCAATGTTCCTGCTGTATGAATTTCTTTTGTTCGATGTTCAAATTAAGTGCTTGTTTGGCAAAACTTAAAATATTATTAAAAAAATCAATAATTAATTTTAATCACACATTTTTTAGATTCACAACTTTTAAACCAAAGTTTGAAAAGTTGTTAAAAAATGAAGTACCAAACGAGATGTTAACGAACAAGTAGATACCAAGAGGGAATTTGAAAATTAACATTAAACTTCACACACATGGGTGGATGGTAGATTTCATGTCCTAATAAAGAAAAAACATTGTAAGATCAATTAAATTGTTGCTCCATTAGTCCATCATGTTGAAAACTTGTCTGCTCATCCATCCTTCTTCATCAATATAAGACATGCTAGTAAAACGAGTCAACTCGTTCGCACTCAACTTGTTCGCCCACTTTACGCGCCCTGCAATATTTGCTCCAGCTCCACGACATTTATACTCAGCAAATGTTAATTGGTACCTGAATTTGTCCAAACAAGGAAAAATATAACATTAACCAATACAAACTATATGACACGATCAATAGCGGCAAGACTTGAATCTAGATGATCTTACTCGTGACCAGATGAAACTACCCAAGAACCCCATCCTTGAGGAACAACAATACCAGACATTGTGGTGTTATAAAATATGACACGAGCGTAGTCTCTCCATGCTCTTCCCAAGAATGTCTTTCCATTCCCAACTATGTTACAATCTTTAAAAACAAAGCCATTGGTCTCAGAAGGGCTCGTTCTTGATTGAGCTGTTATGTATCCCGCAAAACCATTTAGCGCGCCTGCGATAGCTGATATTGTGCATCTCTGCATAGAATTCAAAACCCCCAAATTCATATTCGAATTTTGTTCAGTACTGTCTAGTACAACGCATAAAACATTACCTCATAAATGGATTGGCCGGAACCAAAAATGAAATCAACAGCTCCCTGGATACTGCAAAGTTTGAAGTAATGTCTACCTTTAACATCCCACAAAGTATCTTGCAATCCCAAAAATCCACATCGATAAAAGGACGATTTATCCCCGGATATCTTTGCTGCCACCGCTGTCCTCATTGGGTTAATAGAGTTCTCAAAGGGACGGTTGTAAGAATTCTGCATAAAATTGAAACTTCAAAACAAATCCAAAGACATAAAAATAAGCTGAAATCTTGTTCATTATACTGAAGTTACTATGAAAATTCTTACTGTGAATGTTATGCTTTTGACGATTATATTGTCTGCATCAGAGGTGAAAGTAGCACTTGTTTCAATTGAACCATAATTATCCCAAACTATGTAAGTTTTCCATTTTCCTTCTCCTTTGAGGAAGATGAATGGCTTGTCATGAGAAATTTTCACCGCTTCTCTATATAAAGGGATGAAGATTACATTAAAAAATAACAAAAATACTTCAAACACTTGTATATATAAGGAGAAATAGCATATAATAATAACAAAAATACTTCAAACACTTGTATATATAAGGAGAAATAGCATATATTTACCTGTATATACCAGCTTTGATGTATATACAAATCCACTTATTGTTGTTTGAAGGTACGGAGTCAATGGCGGATTGGATACTTGTAAAATTACCTTTACTTGATGGATCAACAAAGATTGTTCGATAAACCACTGATTCTCGAGGGTGTCTAAGAATATTGCCATCAGTGCCACTCAAAACTATGAATAGAACAAGAAATGCACATAACAACCTTTGCAAAGGCAACATTTTTATTCCAGAAGACGATAATTTTTTGTGGGAAACTAGAAAGATTTTGCAGAAAAAGTGAGAATAATATGAACTTTGCTGGAAAAAAACAAACTTGTACAAACTATATACTTGATGAAACTGGGAAAGTCAAAGAGCAATGAATGTGTGATATCAGAAATAATGAACAATTTTTTTGAGAAACCGAGGTATGAATAAACATAAACCTCAAGATTCTTGTACTGTGTATTCTTTGAGGAAAACTAGGATTTTATAGAGAATGTAACATTATTTGTGCCATACATAGAGCAATCAAGAAAGCGTTTTCTATGGAAAATGTTAATACATATATGACCATAAAAAAGGAAGGAAATGGAATTAAGGAGTGATTATAGATTGGACATTCTGTCAATTTAGAATGCATATTTCTATTAAGGAAAAAGCAGAAAATTAGTTCGTGCATTTAATTAGAGAGAAGGAAAAATAAAAGGGTTGACGGGTTTTTGTTTGATTAAATTAAGAAAAAGGGAATTAATTACTAAGGTAGCATTTCATTAAATTTATGACCAAGAAAAATATAGGGGTTTGATGAATTTCAGTTGAAAGTGAAGAGTTGCAAAAATGAAAAGCTAACTGATGAGGAAAATGAAGGGAAGAGTCCAACCGGATAGAGAAGGTGTCTAAGAAGTTGCTTAGTTTCTGAATTTACGATATCTCGATTGCAGCTCCCTTTCGTACCATGTTTGACAATTGATACGTTAAACTAAATAAATTTAGAAAAAAGAACTAGTAAGTTTTATCATAACTACTCTTCTTTAATCATGTCCAAACTAACGTACTAAACATGTTTTAAAAGACAGATAGTTGTTCGCTCTCTTTTCGAAAAAGGAAAGGAGAAACTAAATTAAGTTTTAGTACATTCAACGTCACTCGAGCATCGTTGCTCTACACGAGTTTCAAGTGAATGACAGTGAAGGAAAAGGTGGGACCATCAAGTTTTGAGAATAGAGAGTTAAAATGCTACTCAATAAGGGATTATCTTGGAGAATATAAGAAAAAAAATATAAAAAATGCATAATTCTTAAGTTGAAAGTGGATTTAGGAGTACTTGGAAAAAATATGAGCAAAATCCTTAACTTCAGCGAAAGTATTTCGGAATTAAGGATGAAAGTATGGAGTACAACATTGGTTGCCATGTTCTATTTTTGGCTTTTCCTTATCCCCGTGCAAAACGTGGTTGTTTTCATGCCAAAAATACTCGTTCGTTCCTAAACTTCAACCCCATGACGATTATAACGTAAGAAAATTCATGCTTCTTTCTATATGTCACGATATGTTCGAATTTGAAAATTGAAGACTGTACAATAAACGTAAAAAAAATCATGCTTCTATATGTCGCAATCTGTTCAAATTTGAAAATTTAAGACTATAATAAACATGATTTTAACTTCTATTACTAACACAACATTGTCAAGACTTATTTGTACGATTTGAATATAATTTATTGGATGATGGATTGTTGTCGAAGATTATTGCATAAAGATTCCAATTGCATTGACCAAAATAGAGTGGAAAAGGAAAAGTACAGCCCTTCTCATCCTCTGAGATTCTAAGGAAACGAGGGACATGCTTGCTTTATTTTTCTAGAATCTAACTTTACAAACATAAAACAAAACAAAATAAAAAATAAGAACTGAGGGCAGGTTTGAACCCATCCCCACCCCAATTCCTTGACGGGAAATTTAGCAAACCTTGTACCAAACCATTTCAATAGGTTTGGAATCAAATTTTACTATGTAGGTCTCGAAGAATGAGAGGCAAAGGGATTGACCGAGAAAGATCTCTTGCTCTTATAGGACTGATTGGATCATCAATTCACTTGTGCAACCCTAGCACAATCCAGGGAGCCATAAAGACGATATCCCATCTGCTTACCGAGCATGAATGATTTCAACTATGGAGATAGATATAAAACAGCAGTAAAGGATTTTGTAGAAAACCAGAATTCGAAATAAATGAGTTCCCCTCCACTAATAACCATGCAAGTTTGTTCTAAGAAAAAGGTAATATGGTAACACCAGCAACACACGGACATGCATTTAATTTTGAAAATAAAGTCAGGAGGTAGTAAATAGATTGCTCCGAAATAGAAATAACAGAAACAAAATCAATAGGATAGATCATTCCCAACAAAATTGTCATTTAAAACAACAAACTTCCTATTTCAGTACTTGATTGGAGCAATAATATCAAGTTGACTGCCAAGTTTCTCCTCGGCCACCTTCTCTGCTTTGACCCTCAATTTTGTCAGCTGCTTCTTCCTCTCGTATGTAGCCTGAGCCCTCTCCTTTCTCTTCTTCTCAAGCTCCTACAGTACATTAACGTTATTATTTAGATCGAATGATCAAATATATTGAATAATGCTATCCATGATCATCCCCGTGTGATGTGATAGTGATGTGGGACGAAATTTGTGGGATGAAATTATAAGGCGAATATCAAACCCACTTTACTGGCCTTATCTTTTAATGTTAAGGCAATTGGGGATCATCCAGAGTTTGAGTAACTCAATACATTAATCATAAAGAAAATTAAGTCACAATACTTGATCGATCTGAGTTGAAAATTCATCATAAATCCAAGTAACACAGGTAAAAAGGTCTAGATCCGGTCACAAACAAATTGCTTGAGACTAAACATCTGAGAAGTATATCCATGTGGAACAATAAAGAATGGATCGGTATACAAATTTAAGAAATATTCTATAACATTGGTGAAATCCATAATTGAAACTATATAAAAAATCGAAAGAAAGCAAACTTCACAATGTGCACAAAAACAAAGCATATCATCTAAGCTCACCCTGATTGTGTCGTAGTGGTTCCATCCAACTTCGGATGAGAGTCTACCCAATAAACAATATTTGTGTCCCGCTTGAAGCCTCAGAACCCTAATTATCAAAAAGCCAACAAGTTAAAAAGATGTGGACAAAACACACAAAATAATAAGGTCTCCTTTATAAGACTCACTTGAGAGCATCGGGAATAACCATCCTCTTGATCTTGTCATATGGGGGTGGGATACCCTCATAAACCTTCAAACGGGCAAGAGCAGCTGCTCCTCGCTTAGTCTTGTGAGGAATCATTCTACAAGTGAATCAACACATAACATTAGACTAGACCGATCACTTCTCTGGAAAGTAGGTTACGATTATGCTCCACAAATACAAAAGAAAAAAAAATCTACAGTTGCACACAATTGATCTTCAAGTACAAGAGACAATAGGTATTTACAAAAGAAAAAAAAAATATCTTCAGTTGCACACAATTGATCTTCAAGTACAAAAAACAAATAGGTATTTTCAGTCCACACAAACGTCAAATCCACTAAGGCAGAGGATTTAGCATTTGTAATATTTTGAACTCATGCAATATCTTCACCAATTAAGTTAATAAACAGCATCCATCCAATAACACGTTCTTTCAGAAATGCAACCCCACATAGGAAGAATAGCCTCTAATATAAAACAAAACAAGTAGAAATACATCTCTGAAGTTCCAACTGTTACATGCTAGCTCAGCAAAAGCTCATTCAAACAGCTCCACAACTATAAACCAAAAGTAAAGAGACATATGCATGGCAATCCATAAAGCCAGAATTTCAAATTGGTATGTCTAACATAATACTTCACAGAAGGAAAATTTATGCACTACAGATAGAACACCAAAAGTGTATACAAACACTCCAAAAAGGGCATCACTTTATCCATACAAGCTTTACGTACAACAAAATCAAACACTGAATTTCCAAGATTACAATAAAACTCGAATCTGTCTCTTATCTTCATAAATCCAACAAATCTCACTACAGAAAATTAACATATACTTATCTACACTCCTACAAGATGTTCACATATCTTTATAAACAGAAACAGAAACACCAGATAAGCAGAAACCTCGATGCACAAACCAAACATGGAAAGTAAAATTTCAACTAGCGTTCTTTTTAAGATAAAATTCATACGACACATATATTTCATCAAATAATTCCGTAATTCCTACCCACGGATAGTGCGCCAGAGAATCTTGGAAGGCGCCCGGAAGTGGATCGGGCCATGAGACGGCTTGGTGTTCATGCGCTTACGGAGGAATCTTAGGTACTTCATCTTCTGGCGGACGAGTCCACCAGAGAGGCAAATTTCTTCGCATCTGACCACCACCACTTTCTGCCCATTCAAGAGCTCCTTGGCTAGAATGGAGGCCAGGCGGCCAAGCATGTGGTGCCTTGCATCCACTACTACTCTCTTCGCACAAATACCCGACCCGGAAACCATTTTCTCTCACTCTAACACTCTCACAGGGCTGCCGCTGGTATGTATCAAATGGGGACGTTGAAAGAAAAGCTAGGGTTTTTGCAATTGGATAATTATATACATATGGGTATGGGCGAGGTTTTGATTTATAAGCCCATTTGTATGTAGATCCATTCTTAATGGCCCAAATCATAGATTTTTATTTTATTTTATTTTTACAAAAGTTCATTTTCAAAGAATAAGTAGAGGAAATATTGATTTGATTGTAAATATTGGTTATTACTACATTTTATGATGAAAATGACTTTAAATTCAGATTTTTATTTGAAGGCTATGTTAGTGTAAAATGTTTTACTGTAGCAATTTAGAGAGACGTAGAAGGGACACCTTCTAGAATGATCACGCAAGAATAATTAAGTTGGAAGAGTCAAATCCATAAGAAAGGGTTCAAAAGCAAGGTGAGGCAAAGGCAATATAAGAATTTAGGGGAAGAGAGGGTAAGATTTTGGTAGTAATGTGTGCTTATAAATGGGCTGATGTATTTATCATTAGGAATCCGTAACAAAGAGTTTAAATGCTGGGTGAGGAAAAGGCAATACAAGAATTTAGGGGGAGAGAAGTTAAGGGTGCAGTTGGTTTAGTTTTCCATTTTCCATTTTCGATTTCAAAACGATTTTAGTGTTCTTGAAAAAGGTGCATTTTGGAAATTTATAATTGAAAACGCTCAAAACGATAAAAAATCGTTTTGCGTTTTCAGTTATAAATTTTAACTTGTTTTCGAAAATACATTTTCAAAAACGACGAATCAAACGTGTTTTCCACATTTTAGAAAATGGAAAGCGAAAAATGGCCTGAAAACGCCAAACCAACCGCAGCCTAAGATTTTGGTAATAATATGTGATTATAAATGGGTTGGTATATGTATTGTTAGGAATCCATAACAAAGGATTCAAATCCAAGGTGAGACAAAGGCAATACAAGAATTTAGGGGGGGAGAGAGGCTAATGCTTTGGTAATAATGTGTGCTTATATATGGGCTAGTATATGTATCATTAGGAATTTGAGAGCTTGTAAATTTTGAAATAGATTGAGTTTTGCTTTTGTAAGCCTATTTGTACTATTGTAGATCCATATTAAATAAATGGGAGGAGCAACAACTTTGTTATATAGCAAGTTGAATGTTCCTCTGCTCGCTACTTCTTTAGTTAGACTAGACGAAGATAGTGAGAAAGAAGATGATACAAGAAAGAAATAAGAGAACATTTTTGAATTTTTACGAAATATAAATTTAGTTTAAGAATTTGTGAAATAAATATTATCTCTAAAATATTGACACTTTTAATTCTTATATATTCTCCTTAATATGCCCAAGAGAAATTCTAATCTACTTATTTTTACCTTCTATCTTCACACGAAGGCCATGAATAACTAAACATTGTCACCTCTTCTATTAATAACTTGTCAAAAATCGCCAACCAACAATGCACGTTTTCTTCTAAAATCTCATTTTAATAAAGCCAAAACATGGACGAAGTAAAACTCAAACAAAAGCAACAAATCTTGTACTTTCTCAAGTGGTGTTGACCATGCTAAAATTCATTTTTAATGTACGCTATGAGTGACGAATGCTGTGTCAAAAAATTTAGCAGATTGGCGTACAAATCATAATAAATTGTATATTTCAAGACGTAAAGAAAACAAATTGAAAAAATAAAATAAATGACCTCTCTTGACTATAAATTGATTTTGATGTTTTGGTCTAAAATTTTAGTTGATCTCTCTCTTTCTACGTTAAGCTCTCATTTGAATGCAATTTTTATCCCAAAAGATAAATTTTTTGGTCGTAAATTTATTGTTCCCACCATCATTTATGACCTCTTCATTCACAGATGGAACCCACTTATCTCTAACGATCAAAAAATCAATTCTTATAATCATTATCGAACAGATCCTAACTGTGTATCATATTAAGACTTCATGATTCGATTGAAATTCGAAATCCTGCTTAGACCCGACGATTCAATTAAAAATCCAAAGCCACAGGCTTAAATAGACATTGATCGTAGCTCCATTGATTCGCAGCCGAGCTAGGATCAGATTAATATTTTTGGCTCCTATGAAATGTCACAAGCTCAACCGCAAAAGCTCACGTATATATAACAGTAGTTTCAATTGAACAATTCATGGTGTGAATTCGAATGGCTGTGGCGGTGCGGGCTCCTCATCAACAGCCATTGCTGAGGCAGAACTCTGTTGCCCGGTAACTGATCCACCAGGATTTGATGCTGCTGACGAGGGTGCATCAGTGAGCGTCAATACTTCAGGTTCATTAGGACGAAGATCTTTCAACAGAACAAATCCCGACGCTGCTGACTTCACAGGCACATATCTGCTCTCTTCAAGGAATTTGATGAATTTTTCTTGAGCAGGAACCACTCTGGCTGGATTGGTCAAGATTTCATAAGATGGCTCAGGTTCTGCCTTCTTATCTGCTGGGCTATCAACCTGAAAATAGTGAATGTGAGAAAGCTAGTTATCAATAATCTTGTTGGTCAACACAAGGCAATACCCATATCCACATAAAAGCTCCCGTTTGTCACCGTTTAAAACAAAACTCTTTAATTCTCATACTTATTTTCTATCACACATTCACACGATAAAAATATTTTGCACGTAAATTTAAAACTTTTTCCTACTTATTAACCACGCGTTCTCCAAAAAAAAAAAAAAATCACTGTTCAAAATATTATTTTTTCTCAATAATCGCCATCAAAACGGGCAAAAAGAGGAGTCGTCAATGGTATAAAGCACGGCACCATCTATGAATGCAAATGATGATACTTACCTGCATAGAGTCCTCATCCTTGTCAATTGATTTCCCCTTTCCCGCACTCGGCTCTGCTCCAGATGACTTTGGGGCATTAGTCTTGTCTTGCTCTTTCTTACTAGCCCTGGCTTTGGCTCTAGCAGATGTTGATAAAACTGCAGTAGGAAGTTTAACAGCCGAAGTGGTTGTGGGTACAGTAGTTGGCTTAGGATATTCAAACAATGAGGGTTTTGCATGTGACAGGAACTCGAAGCTTGGTACTTTCAGGTCATAGTTCAAACCAATGAAAGCAGTTGGTGAAAATGACAAGCTAATGAAATATATAAGTGGGTACCAGTACCAAAATTGACTGAACACAGCAAGACCAACAACTGCGGTAATTTTATCGTGCTTCGTCTTTGAAAGTAATTTAATAGTCACATTCCTTCCACCAGCATCAAGGATTCCAGAAGCTAAAATTGCACCCATCTTACTCATAGTGTCTTCATGCTTGTCAAGAATAATTTTTTCCAATTGACGCCTAAGTAAAGTGAAAATGCTAAGACGGAGAGAGAAAAATATATACAAGTAAAGCAAATGGAGGGGGAAAAAAATGGCAATACCTGAATGCACCAACACGAGAATCACTGGCTTCACTGATCTGGATCATCACCATGGCCATTGCAATCAGAGCACCTTGACGAACAAAGTCAACAACATCTGATGTTAAAGGCTCAAGCAATGATATGGCCTCACTCAGACCAGTACCAGCGCACGAAATACCAACGGCCAGTGCTGCACCATATCGAACATGTGGGTTGTAGGACTCGGATAACAGGGAAACAATTCGAGGAGTCTGCATTTGAACAGCAGTAAACACAATAAGCAGAAATCATGCAGGTGGGGATGTGGGGAACACCTCATGCAACATACCTAATCACTCTCATCTTTTATAGATAAATATACACACATGCACGGGATCTTTTTAGTCAAACAGTTCACTAAATTCTATGATCCAAAAGTGTTGAAAATATATGTCCAACTACATAAAGTCATCACAAGTTGAGATCGATGAAATCCAGAGAACCAGTAATGTATAAGCTTCAAAGCAACAGAAAAAGAAAAGGCACCAACCTGTTCTTGATCAGCATACAAGACAAACCCAAGAGCCAGAACAGCTGTCCGCCTTACATCGTCACTCACATCTGATACAGCAAAATGCAGAAGTTGACGGATGGCCTTATTGTTACCTGTGCCCTGGTATGCCAATGCCAAAGCATACATGCCACCATAACGTAGAATAGGGTCTTGATCCCGTGTCATTTGCTCAATAAGTGTATCAGCTTCTTCCTCTCTACCATAGACCGTAAGAGCTATCCCTAGTGCCAAACCCCTGCCAAGATGTCATAACCAAACAAAATAGTAAAGAAGGGTTTAGATAGAATCTTCATTCTATGCTCTGATAACAGAAGCAGTCTTCACCTGATAATCTTCTCATGTTGAGTCTCGTGTGCATAAGCAAGCATTTCACCAGCCTTCTCACTGGCTGTTCCAACCATCAATAAACCCATACTAATACCAGCAGCTTCACCAGCTACAGCACTGTCAGTGTAAAGCACGTTCTTAATGTCATCGAAGACATCGTTATCAGCAGTTCCCAAGGCAGCCAAACCAAGACCTAAGCAAGCACCGTGCTGGATAACCTGCACCAATCAAAATTTCCAGTTGTAAATATTAAATGGAGAAATATAGGGGTGAATAGGTATATATCCTTGCATAAAAAAGGCAAATACCTCGACATTAGTACTTCGTAGACTATCACGAAGAAATTGTTTAATGCCTTCCCCATGGTTAGCATGAATCAAACCCAAAGCATATAATGCTCCACCTTCAGAATAAGGACTACCCCCGCCACCAGCCCCACCCTGCGGCAGATAAGGGGCCATGAGCGATCTCCCCTGCTTCAGATGGCCTCTATGAATAACACCCAATCCTGCTGTTGCACTAAATTTTGCCCAATTTGTGGCCCTGCTTAACCAGTCCTGATCATTCACTTGCACAAGTTAGAAATGAAATTGAATACACAATATATGATCAAGTAAAGAGATAGAGGTGAAAAATTAATTTACCAGATTCTCCCGAAGAAATGTATCCACAGTTGTTCCAGCATGCATAATTGCATTAGTGTATATAGTTGCACTATGACAGACACTATTTCTCATTTCAACAGATTGCTTTATTGTCTTGAGGATAAGGAGATCTGACCTGCAAACACATAAGGAGCCAACCGTTTATTGGACTTTTGAGAACCTTCTTTAAGGAATTGTTTATGAATCTGATAGTCAATACATGATATAAGAAACATAATGGAAGGATGACTACTCACTTGTTATGACTGTATAAGAATTGCAGAGTCAACTGTATTGAATTCTCTCCTGACAAAATTCCTCTTATTTTTGTTATCCTTTCAGCATAAATTGCCTCACGAGGATCAGGACTTGATGTATTCCCATCTACTTGGCTCCCATTTGTCATTTGAACATCCTCAGTTGTGGTGGTGTTTTCACTTTGCACAGAACCTGGTTCAGGAGACCCTGAATGCACAGATTCTGAAGGTAGTGACTTGGGACTTGGGAGCCTGTTTCTCACATTAAGAAGGAAAGCTTGGTGTTCGTTCTCCACAAGATCGAAGGCGATCTGAAACGCCAGCAGTGCATCCTCCTTAATTTCTGATCGTAGAAGTTTCTCCAGTATGCTTGCAACACCCTCTGGCTCATCCAAAAACATTAGCCGCTGACAAATGCTCAAGTAATCTGGAGATGGAAGTTGCTGATATACTTTGACAAGAAGCTGAAGCACCTGTTGCACAGGATCAGCATGTGTTGATACTTGATAACATTAAAAAATAATTCAGTTAGTTCTTGAACATTAGTTTGAAATGTCTAATAATATTTTCTTATTAAGAAACAGTAAGAAGATAATTTAATATACAATACTGATGGCCATACAAACATAACTACAGCGGAGGAGGAGAAGGAGGATCTGTGCTTCCTAACTGTAAAAGAATGCCAAAAGCTAGCAAACTTGTGGGATCTCATCATAATGTTGACCACTTTTATAATAAACAAAAATCTGAAGAAGCTCATTATAATGATGGCCTTAATTAAAACAAACAAAACAATAGATGGAGGAAGACATTCCCAAAACAAACTGTCAAGGTAGAGTCAGAGCCATAATTTGCAGCCAGAAATCCTACACCAAAGTCACTACAGTTCAACTTGAAGGTTGACACTGGACGTGTACCTAGATGCAAGTAAAATACTAATTCATTCTTTGTTATTGCCAATTGATTCTTTATACAAGAAAGCAAATTGTTCAGAGCCTGAGCGTAGTTACAATCATCAAGCAACTGAAAAAATCCTAAAATTCCAGAATGCTTTGAGAATTTTTTGGTCACCCACTTCCTAATATCGTATCATACAAAAAAAATGCAGCAGACACACATGGGGTTGTGTATGTATTCAAACTTAAATAAGACGAAAATAACCTAGACGCGTTTAAGTAAAAGACTCTAACCATTTATAAGATATGAAAACAGGAAAATGTAAACACACCCTTTTTTGTTTTAGCAAATAAAGGTTATCTATGCCAACCACTAGCATTGGATAACATTATAATACTTGCTATTAACTATGAAGATATTTTATTTACATAATTCAGTTGAAATGCAACAGATCTTTGCCTCATGCTTATACATGCTGTAATTCTCATTCCATCTCTTGCCCTCAACCGGTACAATCAATCAACGTCACTGAGAAAGTAATGAAAAAGGAATCTTGAACCAAATTTTATCTAACTTATCCATATCAGACCACAAATTACTCTCATTGACTCCGCCATGATTTTTATCAGAGCAAACAATTTAACATCCATTAAAATTCACTTCTCATCCATGAAGCATCAGATTAGGTCAAACCATTATCAATCTACTCAAGTTCACATTGAAGGTCAACATGGTCTAGAAATCATGCAACTCCAAAAACAGTAGAGAAAATTAGAAAGGAAATTACTTTCCCGAATATGTAACATAACTATGTATGTTGATATATTCAATTATACTCCCAAGTTTCAAGATGACCGATTATTGTTTCCTTTAACCTACTAACATTTACTACTACTTATAAATTCACTTCTTGTAGATTTTGTTTACTGAAGCAGCAGAGACTTCGGGATTCCGGCCACAGGATTTTTCATATAACCAGCAACATGTTTCTGTAAGCATGAGGGAACAATATACAAACGGCAACAAATATTTGAGAAACTGTTTCTCACAAAATAAAAGGCAAAGCTATGAACATAGAAGCCTACTGGGCAATTAATAGGATATCTGAAAAGACCCACACAAAAAGGTTGACGATGCTTGCTGTATGATTTTACCTCACGCCGATATTCTCTTCGATTAACAAAGGAGTGAGAGATATCAATGCAATAATTAATAGTTGCATGAGCATTATCACTCCTTGTAATTGCTTCCTCGAGTTTATCTAGTCTTCTACATTCTATGGCCATTCCTATAGCTTGTTGGTATTTTCCATCCACGATACATCTGAAAATAAAGGAAAAAGGCCACATTTAAGGCAAGAGGAAATCGTACAGCAATCACGAAGACTATAATTACATACTTATCAAGCATTCTCTCAACAGTTGCCTCCAGTCTAGGGTCCACTGTTGCTGATTCATTGTGTGCCTCAGCTGCCTTAGTGTTGAGACTGGCATACTCATCTATTGCTTTAGCTGAGTGAAGCAAGATAAGAATAGAAAATTATTAACAAGCCTGGTTAGTAAACGCCTAAATATTATATGGTCACCTGGCTAGAAGTAATACCTATCAAGAGACTACACTCATTTGGAATAACTTTAACATATTTTTTTGACCTAACAGAAGTAATTGGCACACTATTTTTGAGAGAGAATACAGGGCAATGGGCATTGACTAAATACTGACCAAGAAGAGTATGAACATAGTCTGAATCCTCTGAAACATCAAATAGATGACCAGCTCCAAGGGCATATGATAATGAGTCATTCAGTTCACCTAGATAATAGAAAACCTGATGACAGAAACATAGTAAGTAAACATACACAGAAAACAAAAATGGCTACTAACGATAAAATGAATGCCTTGTTCTGATGGTTAAAAGATTATAATTCCCATAAGAATAATACCACAATATGGACCAGTAGGAAAACTTAATGGACTTACTGTGAAACAAGGCATGGAGAACCATTTATGTTAACCCTGCCCAGTAATTTGCTTAAATTTGCTGAAGAACTGGGTGTGTGACAAGATGTGTTAACAGGTTATAAGACTAGACCATCATACAACTCAAATTCCTTCTAGGAACCATATTGATGTAATAAAACTGTCCTCAAAATCGCCACACTGCAGAGGAAATATCATATTTTCTATTTCAAAACAAACACTTCCATTTCCAATTGTTACCCTCCATCTTCTTGACATCAAATGATCCCCAAAATCAAAATGGCAGAAAGTTATGCTTTCATAAGTTAGTAAAGTAATCGGATGCTACCAGATAAACAAACCAAGACACAGGAAGAAAAAGAATATAGGTATTATCAATGGCAAATAAATAATTGTAAAATTATCAAAAAAATGGACAAAACTTTGAACTGTAATCAAAATGTGAATTCCAATGGAGGAAGATATAGTGACTCCCAAGGAACCTAAGATAAAAATGGATTGGTTAATGTAAATACTTCAAACATTGGAACTTGATATCACCCTTTTACGTTATTTTTACGCTCAAACTACTAAAGGTCTAGTAGTTAGCAGAGTAAATTAATTGAAGAAATATTCAAAAAGAAAGAAAAAAAAAATAAATAAATAATGGTCTGGTCTAAGCATACATCCACAACTACGCCTTGCTATTCTCACCTTAATATTTCAACAATTCACTGCAATTTGATTTTACATAGTTAAGATCTATATACACTTTCTTGTGGCGTATTTTCAGATCTTTTACACTAATCTTTTATACATAAAAAATAAATCTACATCTTCTACAGTTACACATAAGGAACATATTTTTACCTTGGAAACAAGTAATGCAGCTAGTGGTCTATGGTCAAATTCTTCATCTTCATATAAACTTTCTCTGCATAACCAAAAAATACACAGATGTTATCTAGAGTTTTCAAACAAAGTAGTCAAAAGTAAGATAAAGAATTCGTATATAAAATTACATAATATAGATATCAGTGACAAATCAGTTTTAAAAAGGCCAACGACTCAGTAAATTGCGACATAGCTCCTACTCCAACAAGCCAAAGGCCAAAGTGTAAGGTCAAAATTCATCTATTCAATAACCTGAAACAAGAAATTTATCAAGATTCCTTAATTCTTTGGCAAAATTTGACAATTCTTCGAAACCATTATATTCTCTCTTGCTAGTACTTTTTACACGATGAAAAGAACACCTGATTCAAGCACAAAAATCCAAACTTCTTTATATTTAAACTCTCTTCATCCTTTCTCTCAAGCTTCTTTATATTTAAGCTCTCTTCAATCTTATCTAAAGCCTATATTTCCGGAAAACCTCAAAATTTCTCAGTTTATCTACAGTTTTCATAGTGACCTCAGGGATAAATAACATTCAAGCACCTCCTAAACAGAAATGAAATATTAACTAATTCCCACATAAACAGAAAGCCAAACAAGTTAGACTTTGTCATGTTCAAACGAAAATTTCCACAATAGTCTATCTTTTCTTCTAAACCAATAATACAGAACATCCAAAGTTTAACAAAACTCACAAGAAATAAAAAAGAAATACCAATCCAGTCACAAAACCCTAGTTTACATACATACCCACATACAAAAATACTTATAAACTATGTAGAAGGGAAAATTTTACATGATAGGAACGGAGGTTGAGATCTCAGGCCAGAAGTAGTCCACGAATGCGTTAAGATTAGAAAGCGCATGTAGCTTAAGCGCCGGGTGGGTCTCGTTCAACATCGCCAATAGCCCACCGGCCGAGCTCACCATTGTCGCAGCGCCAGCCATCTTCTCTAACTCTTCACAATTATTTATGTGCAGAAATTAATCCTAATTGTATACAAATGCAGAAGTTTAGATTTTGATGCAAGAGAAAGTGAACAGTGCTTTGAAGAGAGAATTGAACCGGAGGAGACTAAAAAGAAAACTAATTTTAAACTTCCGAGTGGATCAACAGAAGGAAGATTTAGAATTTTCAGGGAAGATGGAGAATTGAGCCTCTTTGGGAGATTTCAAGGAGCTTGATTCTTTCCTGTTTTTATTAGTTGGGATTTCTTGAGGGAAGGGCAAAGTTCCCAGCTTTTTAAATTGTAAGTTTAGGCTAGGCACCGTTAAAAATTATTTTTGTAGTAGATTATAAAAATTAATAAAGGGTAATTATATTTCCACCACAAAATTTATTTCTTATACCACATTATAATCACACTACAATTAAATTATATTTTCAATATATACATCACAATAAATTTACAATTATACTCATAGTCCAATAAAAACTAAAACTAAAAAAAAAAATGTGGTGTACTTATCATTCCAATATTACTTCTCATTTTTTTCATTCTTTAAACATTTTCACTAATTCTAAAATAAGAATTTGCAGTATCTTTTCATCACACAGATTTTGCACCAAGTGCATTATAGGTAGAAAATATTATCTTTTCGTCACAGAAATCTTGCACTACAATAATAACTTGTTTTAATTGCTTTCAACGAGATTTTAATTGTAACATTATATAGGATTCTTTAAAGTAAATTCAAACAATTTGCAGGAAGATTTCATGTGTTGATTTCCCATCGTCCTCTCTCTTTTTTCTCAAATTTTTATGGTTTTGGTGTGTTATAGATGGAGAGAAATTCATATACTTGTATATACAAAAATCCAATAAAACTGACACATCTCATGCATATAAATTCATAATTTTACATGCTTGTTTCAAAATCATAATAAATATGTTTGACTCAACAAAGAAATAAGATCCTTAATTTTCAAACTCGGCAAATAAATTGAAAAAAAAATGAATTTATTTACAGTGAGAAAAAAAAATTATCTTGCTGCTGTGAAGGAAGGAAAAAATCACCGAAAAAATTATGAACGGTGAAATGTTGAGAAAAAATGAAGAAAGAAATTAAGTTTTACATTTGTGGAGTAATAATAATTTATTTATTAAAAAGTACATTAAAATTCTAATTATTTAATTCTACTTATGGATATTTTAGTAAATAAGAAAATTGTGGTGTGCTTGTTATATTTGTAGTGGTAATATAATTACCCATTAATAAAATGTACTATTGAAAAACTAATAGAAATTGTAAGTCACGTGGATTGGAAATGAATTTTAAAGAAATATGAAACTAAATGGGGCCTTATTAGTCGGAGTGTTCGCGTTGTTAATAATTAATCATGCCTTACGCTCAAGAAAGAGTGTAAATCGAACAATTTAATGTCGAATATAATTTCAAATGTGAAGACATATATATATGAGTGATAAATGAAGCAATATGAGTCGCTCAACTTACCGACGAGCCAACTAGCCTCAAGAAAGTCTCACGAGTCATTCGTGACTCACCTCTTTCTCTCTCATTTTTATTTTTTATTTTTTGAAAAATTGTTGAACTTTCTAAAATGTGTGTCACCCATGAGCCTAAAATGAGTTGTCTAGCATGAGTGAATTACTGCTCAACTCGTGTTCAGAGTTTGTCTAGGATGTAAGTCGAGCTGACAATCGGATTGGCTCGCCTTAACATCCCTAACTATGAAACATGTTAAGTTCACAAATGTTCAATGATCAAATTAGATATGATTAGAGAAGAGAAGTCGCGTGTTGTATAGCAATGCTTACTTCTTTCTATTCTTGCTTGTCAAATATATTAGTGATTATAAATCTCGTTTGAAACCTTCTCTTAAAGATTTTTCGACAGTAACATATTTACAAGCTCTCACTCTTCATGTGGGAGTGATTTTTTTTTTTTTTTAATTTACATTTTGGAGAATGTGGTTAAAAATATAATGAAAAATAATATTTTCGAGAATTTATGGTTGATATTGAGTGTGAATAACCTTTCTACACAAGCACTTATGCATTAAACCTTACTAGTGAATTCTAATGTATATTGCACGGGAAGTGTACAAAAAAAAATAAAAAAAAATAGAAGTTTTGTAATAAGGAGCGATTTCAATATATGTTGATTTAGAAATATTTCATATTGCTTGACCTTTCGATCAAGAAAAACAATGGAAATTAATAGATCCACTATTAGTTGGTTTTAACTTTTTGTTTCCAATTTCAGGAAATTTGACGGGCTTTTTTGCTGCTACGAGGCCCATCTATGGAACTAGCCCATTAGGATGTCAAATGAGGAAATTACAGCTATCCCTACATTTTAACTTATCATTTCAAAATTCAGATTTTGACTTTGTTCTTTCAAAAATCAAGTGTACACTCTCCACTCCCACCCACACCACTCCTTAACCATATTTATTTTCTCTCCAAACGAAATGTCATAAATTTGGGGGGTTTTGAGGTGGTTTATTCATCCTCCAATCTGACTTGATTTGCTTAGTCGGAGTTTTGGGGCAATTTTTGGTGGTTTGCAAATGGTGGTGGTTGATCTACAACTGCAAATAGTGGTGATGGTGAGATGGCACGGCATACAATTAGCACTGGTGGTGATGGAGTGGGTTAAAACCTTTTATAACCAATTATTTGGATGATTGTGGTCAATAAAATTGATCATTTGTAACTAATAAATAACATTGCTTAAAAAAATATGTAATTGAAATTATATTTGTAATTGTGACTCAAAATTTGTGGTGCTGTGACTGCGACCTTACGCAATTTGTGACTGTAACCATAGTTGTGAGTTTTGTGACATTTTGATCTATTATTGTGACATACTATTAGCAGGTGGTCACAGATGTAATCACCATGTTTTTTAAACTTTTTTACGAGTTTCTTATTTTTGAAAGTGTATGTTTAAACATTTCTAATTATGTATTCTTACCTTGTTGAAATCCTTTCAACTTATCAAGTTACTCTTCAGTGTAGGTTTTAAAATTATTTTTTAATAAAAAATGTATAAAATATGTCGTTTAAAAGTTGTGAGAAAATATGTGATTAAATTTAATTGTTAATTTTGACTTAATATTATAAAATAGTTTTGATCCAAACCAAAGAACAGCCAAGTATTTTAACCCTCGAACTGACCCAATAGAATGATCCATGCATCCCATTTCATGATTCTTGGCTCAATAAGTATTTTTTAACCTCCGGGCATGTTCGACAAAATTTATAATTGGCTGCAAGAACATCGACTCTATTTTATTCATCCATTTCATAAGATTCATGACTTTTATTTACTTTAATATATGTACAACTTATATTCTAATAAAAGCTTTGCCATAGTCGTCTTACATAAATATGGATATTTTCACAAATACAATAAAAAGCAAACCGTTTCGAAAATATTGTTTTACATTTTTGTTCCAAAAATATTGAAGAAATTGCAGCAGCGGTACCTAACCTTTTCTATTTTTGCGGACTTTACTCTAACTTTCAATTTGTGCCACCGAAGGTTCCTATCCTTTCAAAAATATGTAGCTGGAGTCCATTTGGACGGAATTCGTTTATTTGACCATTAGTTGACTAAAAAAATTTATTTTGACCAAATTTGATAAAGACAAAATGGTTACTTCGTTAATTTCATATTACAAAAAATTAAAAAAAATAAAATAAAATCAGAAAAAAAAAAACCAAAAAATACCTTATCTTCCACCTCACCCCACACACCACTCGCCCACCCAATCAAAATTGCCTCTTCTCCGACGAGCCCAGTGCCATACCTGTGTTTCGCAGGGCCTGAGGCGAGATTCAGAATTTGGGCCCCTACTTCATAGAAAACAATGATTTTTTTTTTTAAATATTATTTGTAAGAGTTTTAAGGAACTAAATTTTTAACATAAAATCCATAATAAAGCAACAAATAAAAATGAAATTCAAAATATTTATATTATAATCAAATAGCAACACAAAGATGTATAAGAAAATGTTCTAAACCATCATTTAAATACAACTCGTCTTGCGGTTTTTGAGGCAAAAATATCAATCAACTTTGTATAGTCGAGTTGTTCAATCATTTCCTTTTCAATGGACAACATAGTCAATCCATTCAATTTTTGTCGTGACATAGTTGATCGAAGATAAGTCTTGATCAATTTCAATTTGGAGAAACTTCTTTCTGCTAATGTAGCTATAACTAGTATAGTGAGCAAAATCTTGTAAGCAATGCAAGCATTCAGAAAACAACCATTCATTTTCTTTAAATAATTTAGTACATCAATTGCTCTTTTTGTTTCTCCAGGTAAATAGCACTTCAAAACTAACAACTCCGTACATAAGTCATCACCAATAATGTCAAAATGTCCATTATGGCTCAAATACTGGTCAAGATTCTTACAAGATTTCAACAAACTGTCAACATGGATACTCCTTAATCTCTCCGAATTAAACAAAAATCTAAATGTCGCTTCATAATGTTTAAATTGTTCAAACCGAGTTTGAATTGAAGATCAAGCTTGGTCAATTATAAAGAGAAAATAATCAACTCGAAAAGATTCTTCAGCTGATTGTGTTACCTCTTCACTACCACTTTCATCAAACTGCATCTTTCTTCGAATATTACGTTTCTCTCGAAAAACAGCTTCAACTCCCATTTCAACTGCTATTTGTTTAGCTTCATCCATGGCATTGACAAATCCATATTCTCTATAATTTTCGAGAAACAAAATAAGTGCTTCTAAAAGCTTGATAGCCTCATCAATATCTATATTTTTGGCTTGAAAATATTTACTCACAGTATTGAAAGCATGCAACAACTTATAGCAAATGACCATACCAAGTAAGAACTCAAAATTTTCAAGTTCATATGTTGCTAATGACTCAGCTTCACTCTTTGTTTTAGGATCTTCAGTAACGTTTGCCAAGTCAAGTAAAGCGTCTCTTATTTGTACAAATTGCTCTTTTATAGGCTTGACACTTTCCACATGACTTTCCCAGCATGTTTGTGACAATAGCTTAAATGTCAGACCTTCAACCTTATCTTTAAAAATTTTCCATCGTTTGGGAGAAGAAGAGAACACTGCATAGATGCATTGTATCACTCCAAAGAAGGACATAGCTTTAGAACAACAATTTGTCATGTCACAAAATGCTAGATTCAGGCTATGACAACCACATGGAGTATAGAAAGCTCTAGGATTTATTTTAAATAACATTTTTTGTACACCTTTATG